AAAAAAAAAAAAATAAAAAAAAACACAGGGGGTTGAAGTTAAGATTATATGTGAGCTAAATCCAAGAGATGGGGACACAGTCTAGGAGGAGCAGCAGTAATGATGACTTATATCCAGCACCAATACGCGGAGTCATACCAGATGGGACGTACATGCTGGTGGTACTAATGAACCTACAAAAATACTAAACTTACTTGTCTGCCTTTTCATGTGGTGTATTATTAGTGAAGTAGCATCGTCTAATACTGCTTTCTCCTTGTATATGAAGGAAAGCATGGGTTTGGTGATATCTGAATCTTGGCGCTGGAAAGTACAAGTGTGTAATGTTTTATCAGACAGGACAGCAGTTGCCAAACAGTGTTAAATTGAAAAAGTGACAAAATAATGCAGCAATATAAAACATTTGGGCAGTGACACCCAGTCCCACACTTATGGTGTAAAATGAAAGTATTGAATCAAGAAAAATAAACTGATCTGTCTGGTTTTTGAACTCATAAGTTTGACAATAATAAATAACAGTTAATCTTTATGATGGTGTAAACGAAGAAAGTGGAAGGCAACATCAGACAACTGATGATACCATTCTCACCTCATCAAAGATGGCTTCCACCTCGTTCAGAAGGGCTTTGGACCTGATAGCTTTGACATCATTTTGCTTAAAGTTGATGCCCTGGTGATCCAGAGATTTCAGGTAATACTTTTCATTCTGTTCTCGCCAGATCTTATTGAATGATTTCTGTGCTTCTCGCCACTCTTCATCTTTTGCTTTTAATCTTAAAACATGGAGGCATTATTAGATTAATGTTTAAATTAAAAAGACTGATGTTCATTAAGCCATTTAAAACACACACACACACACGCCACAGTTTAAGATCAATGTAAGTCATAGTTACTGACTGTTGGTATGAAGATTTACATAGTGCAAATAATTTGTTGCAAACTATCAGATACTGTGTCACTCAACATGATTCTGAAGGCTTTCTGATAATCTCTGTTTTTAATTTGTGCAACATCTGATAAACAGATGATAAACAAAAAACCTACCTTCTAAGAACCAGGGGGACAGCTACCACAGGATTTTTCTTCAATCCATCAATGATATCAGCAGATTTGTCACCATATATTCTAATCAGTAAAAAACGCTGATTTTAGACTCTAAATACCATCACCTACATCCAGATCTCGATGCATTTAAACTTGCTGAACATGTGAAAAGTCATCCTATTCAATTTTTCAGACAAAACAATCTAACTGAATTTTCAGACAAAACAATTTTACTGAAAAATTCACTTAGTCACTTAAAGCTTGAATCCTTCAATGGATTACTTTATGACTTTCACATTCGACACCCATACCTCTGTATAGCTTTCCTGTGGATGGTCTCAGAATTGCCTCCAAGACAATTATCTAAGCGGAACTTGGCTGCCTCCTCAGAGGACATACGGGACATTTTCTTCTGTACAGCTTCCAGTACTTTGATGGAGGAAAGGTTGGACTCTATCACCACATCAAGCTGGAAATGAAGGAATAAATAGTTAACGACTCCTTAGTGAACAACAAAATACTTGATCATGCATGTCATTCCAAGTTTGGCACACTCAGTTACAAATACTATTCAAAAATTCAGAAAATGCCTAAATTAGTTCTTTAAATCCACTCAATGCCCCTCAAAATGAACCTCACTTTACTGGCCAAAATGTCTTAAGTTACACACATATTAACTTTAAGTCTATATCAGTTCTAATATGGTACAGTTCCCAATACTGGTTCCTGCTACTACAGAGGGAATACTTAGTGAAAACACAGTACTTTTTGTGATTTTTGGCCATGAAAAAAATTAAGCATAAAATTTTTACTTTTAAAATGAATGCAGTGAGGATCTGACCTACATCTGTTAGCAATGAATATGTTCACCGTTATTAAGAGTGGGGAAAATGTTACTAGGCAAGTTGAATATAGGCAAAATAAATGTCCCAATTGGTCATGTAAAAACTCAAATTTCCACCAAACTCAGTCAATCCTTGCAGAGTGTGCAAGTACAATGGTTCAGCGTGTGATTTTCTAATCCTAAAGATCTTTAATATGATACAATTTCATTCTCCTATGAAACAATACTAATGTTAACAATTAAACCTTACCTCAAATCTTTCATCTTCACATCTGTAGATGTGCTCTTCGTACTGGGTCTTTCGCGATGTGACAAAAGTGGAGTCCTCGGACCAGGAGGGAAATGACACCCAGGTATCATTGAGCACCTAAAAGAGAACAGGAAGTTAAATTAACACATGGCTGCCAGCCAAACACCGTGTTTCAAAGGATGAGTTATGACAGCTGCTACAATGATATCTAGAAATGGAATCAACTCTTACCCATGCACATTGAGCTGTTCATAAAACAGGCATTCCAAGTGTACTAAAACCCTTTTACTGACACTTCAGAATTTAAATGACATATGTAAATGCAATATTAGCTCCAAAATCTAGTAGGTTCAAGTTGAGATTAATGTGACCTAATTTTACACAATGCTGGTACTAATTATTAACTTATGTACAAACTTAAATATCCACACTGCTAATACCGAGTTCAGCTAGCTACCTCTTTGCACAGTGCTGTTCTTCCTGAACACTTTGGTTGCTGGTAAGTCTTAGGAAGAGCTCTGTAGCTGGCACCATACCGTTTACATGATGCATAGTCTGCAAGAGAAAAATATGGAGTTTTATATGGATTCTTTTTGAACAGTTAGATAAACTTAAAACTCCCCTTCAGAAGTCTTAAGCATTACAGAACCCTATAAAAGACTCCAGTGCAATAAAATAATAAACAAATCTGTGACTTGGTGAAAGTAGTATACTGTTTATTTTTCTCAACCAAGAGAAAAAATCTTGCATGCTAGACAAAAATTAACCATGCTTGTCCAAGACTAGCTTTTATCAGCACAATGGATAGAAGGATGCACACACACCTATTTCCATGGCCAAATCCCCAGTAATTCTTTCCTTGTGAGAGGCCGAGCTGGGGACAGGCTCTATCATTCCTCCCTCCTTGTAACCCAGGAAATCTTTAAACCACTTGAACAGCTCTGGAAATTTTCTGCAAAAGGAGATAACTTAAACATCATATGACTTTGACATTTCCCAACAATTAACTTACATAAAATGACATAACATATAATCATATGGACTTGTAAACTTCAAAATGCTTTGTACACAATAAATTCACCTAGATATTTGATGTTTTAAACTTAAACCCACCAACAATAAAATATCAACTTGGATGTTTTTAGAGGTCTTACCCCAAAAAAGGCTGAACTAACTGGACCAGCTCTGTGCGTGAGATCACTTCTTGGTTGAAAAGCACTAGGCAACGAAGGAAGTTCTCATAGACTTCCTGGTTTCTCAAAGCTTTACGCACCTATAGAAATAAAGGCGGCAAATTTTGTCAAATGGACAGATATATTTGTGCAAAACAGGACAGGGCTTATTAAAAACAGAAAATGACCATTCATGTTAAAAAACAAAGATGGGAAATAACTTCCAGAAAATTTGAACTTGGAAGTCTCATGTAAAGCTTCTAAAGAAAAATACCAAGTTTGATTACAGATATTTATATCAGTTTAATCCAAAAAGAGAAACAAACTTTTTATATCAATTTTCTACTAAATCAATCTGACAAAAGTGCAAAAAGTTTCACAGGCATGGCCTTTTTATGTCCCAAAATTGTGGCATGTCTTAGTATTGAAATTTTCACATACCACAGTTAAGTGCATTGAAATGTAAACAATGTCATGCACTTCATAAAGGGTATACATTATAAAATACAATCAATAAATTTAGTAAGTAAGATTATAGGAAGGTATTCCAGGTTGATAGTTATTTAACAGCTATGAATCAATTAATAAAGTTTGGGGAAAATGATTTACTTGATTTATACATTAATTGATTAGAAAAGGATTCAGTGCTAAAAAAGGATAGTGAAAAAAAAACCCCACTAAACTGGATAGTTTTTGAAAAAAAGGGGATATCTGTAGAAAAAAAGGTGGATTGCTTCACTTACTTTATCAAAAAAGGCATATTCGTTCAGTGTTCCATATTTTCCTGCTTCTGCAAGTGTAATATCCTTGAAGATTCCAGTCTTAGCTTTCTGTAATAATGAAACAGCCCTTTAAAATCTTTCATTAAGCAATATACCAAATAAAAATTCTCACAGAACAACATTTAACTAGCAAACAATCATCAATTTACTGAAACAACCAGCAACATTTAATCTCTAGCAAGGGAACAGAACATGCGGTTTTTCTAGTATCCAGATTACTTAATGCCCATGAACAACAGTCCGGCAGACACATGAAGTGTCTGTCCACAAAGAACTGCCTTAAAATGTAAAAAAGCATAAAGCAAACTGCACATTCCTTACATTTCAATTTCATTGCTCAAACTCTGTTTGTACATCCCCTTTTATCTGACATCCTTCAATCAATATTTCTGCTAGATACAGTGAAGATCCATTCTAAACATGCAGAGAAATGTCTGCAACATACCTTGGAAGGTGGCTGCTGCCCAGAGGAAGGTCTTCTGATATGACTACCACTCTTGTTGTTAGCTTTCCCAAATCCTGGCTTCTTCACAGTGGATGAATGGTCATTGCGCACACCAAGGTCAGCTTTAGTATTCAGGAACCACTGCATAGTACAAGAAGTAAAAAAATAAAGGTAACTGCTCACTAAATTGTATATGCTTGTATTGCTTAAATGTCAGTAGTAATGAACAATATCAGATATTGTGTTTTTATGAAATAAACATCTATCTTGCAAATATCTGTTAAATTTCTGCTTAATAGCATTCTTTAAAATACATCAATTAGCTGAATAAACCATTATTACAATTCTTGACATTGATGTGATAATGAGGGACCACATCTTACACTGAAGTTGGAGGCTGCTGAGCTGTTGGCATCAGGAAGAAACTGTCCAAACTCGGACAGCAGGTCTTCCTGATTCTGGAACAGTTTTGCCACCTGCGCATACACCTCTCCTTCTGTTAGAGGCTTATAACCCGGGGGGCACAGACCCTGGAAAATAAGTCCTGGTTTTAGAGAAAGGCTTTTAAAAATATACTTTCTTGGTGATGCAAATCTTTGCTGAGTTTAATCTTGGATAAAATTCATTCCAGTTAAATATGCAGATAATTTAAGCCAAATCAATTTTCTGACAATTATATATTTGGCAAAGAGCAGAAAGACAGGCTATACTTGCAGTTAATTAGAATACATAGAGCATTTGGCCAAAATTAATTTTAGTTCACTCTAAAATATACTTGATGGACTTGTTTATACTCCATTTTTTTAAAAATGTTTCATAATTTCTGATTATGTCCTATTGCACTTAAATAAACTTATTCCTTTTTTATTAAATAACTTGTTGACACAATTCTCACCTCCTTGAGATTCCTTTGCTCTTTCTGGTAAGTATGAAGTATCTCCAAGAAAGCTTTGTAAATTTCAGGCTGGTTCTGGAAGCGATTCTAGAATGCAAAACAACAATTTGGCATCAAAGACAAAACATACCCACACTAAAACTTCTGTAAATTACAGCCATTAACTTATCCAAAACTGTTACGATAATCTGACCCATTTTCAATTTCAAATTTACTGTTACAAGTAAGGCTTTCCCCAGAGAGCCATCCAGCCATCATATGGACAACAATTAGCTGCAAAAGACGGCCTGTATTTCCAAAGACAGCTGGTGGGCTTTCAAATTTTTGGGGATGGTTGATTGGGCTTGCTGCGGTTGGACTCCCTGTAAATCAATGACCAAATTACAGGCTCATATAATAAGCAAATTAAACATATCCTTGAAGGTAGGAGTTGGATAAGCATGCACTTCTTGTGTTTGAAAATGAAATAGCTGGCAAGCAAAAGATCTAATGTTCAGGGCAGACGCCTGTCCTCACTCACTTTGATCTTATTCACATAGTTGATAGCGTGATTGAACTCTACTGGTTGTGTGGCCTGGGGTGTAGATGGCGCAATATGCTGAGGAGAGGGGTTCACTTCCTGACTGGGGCGCGATGCCTGGTGGTAGGAGTGGTGAGAGGCACTACTAGTCAGGCTCTGGCTGCTAGGAACATTGACCGGCTGAAAGAGACCAAGATCATTCGGGCACTCAATGACAGTTGACAAAGAGTGAAATAAAGAAGCAAAATTATATATATAACACAAAACACTTATTCTCTTTTCCCAATTTTATATCAATTCCTCACAATGTAAACTTGTATTATAGCAATCACCTCTAAAGTTAAACTGAACACCAAAAACACCATGATACCCGTCTACTAACTCCGTAAATAAAGATTGTGCTCACAGTTGCCACACTTAAACCTACTGGTTTTACCATCATTTGGACAGCTTGATCAAGCAGAAGATGAAAATTTTATGCTTTGCATGGCTTGCTAAAATTCTCAGAATTTATGTTATAGACCTGCCTGTTGCACCCTCTGTGCAATATATGTACAGAGATCTGACCACTCACACACACACGCAGGACTCACCGCTTCTGACTGAACTCTTTGTGTAAGTGATGTACATAGTGTGGTCGTTATCTGCCCAGGTTGTTGTACGCTGATGGTCTCATTAGCTTGTACCTCAATCTTGTACCCCGGGGGAAGGAAAGTGTTAAAGCCAACAATCAGGTCAGGGTGACCCCTAAACAGGTTGGACACCCTGTTGATAACACCTGGGGTGTCAATGCTACAATAAGAAAAAATTCACTTTGAAATAAACTACAAATGATAGGTGGGGTAACCTTTGTTGTTATAATAATCATGTCAAAGTTTAAAATAGACATGAACAAAACAAAGCCACAATTAAATGTCATGCACACAGATTCACCATTCACAAACATCAGAAATTATCTATACATTCTATATATTAAACTACTTTTACTTTAACGGGAAAGTTAAATTATGGAAAAGGTCTTCTTTGAATGATCAGTGCAGCAACATGTCAGACTGATAATTGAAACCTCTCTGCATTACACACTGGAACTCACGTCTGAGACTTGAACTCTTTCATGATATCCAGGAAGTCATTGTAAACCTGTGGCTGGTTCCCAAACTGCAGCTTCACTTGGTCCAGGTAGGAGAGGGCATCCTCCACCTTCAGTCGCTGGAACTGCTGCTGTTGCTGCTGACCCTGGACTTGGGCAACATGGGCCTGAGAGAAGGAGAAGAGAACAAGTCTAATTCTGCCAGTATTTAATTACACTTTTTTCAGTCCACCAGTCTAGCAGGATCTATTCACATACCCCTACAACCTTCACTTAACTTTGGAACTGCCATACTTTGACGTGTGCTCATATTTGACCTAGGTAATGTCAAATGATCAGTGATTACTTTGGGGAAAAGCAGCCAGAATATCATCACACGGAGGACCTTAAAAAGCCTATAAGATTTTAAAGGGTATGACAACCATTTTGAGCAACCCTGTACTTTTGGTCTATAAATAATGTATAAAATGCTAAACAATGATAAATTGTGTAAAGAATCCCCTTATACTGCATATGTACTAATATTTTTACTCCTCACCAGTATGTTGGACTCGGCAGCTTTCTGTACCTGGGCATGTGCCTGTGCCTGATGGACCTGCTGCTGGTGGTGTGCCTGGGCCTGGCCCCCGGGATGGGTAGGGGGTTGGATACTGCTGGTCTGGCCACCCTGCTGGTTGACACTGAAACAGTAGTGGATGATGGACACTAAAAATTTATTTACTATTTCAAACTGCACTACACATGCGTTTCAGCACTGTTCCCTACATCTACTATAGGCCAACTGAGCGATGAAAGCAAGTTAATTTCAACTTTATTAGTAAGAGCCAAATTTCTGCATCAAAACCCCATTTTTATTTGTCCAAATCTCTAAAGTTGACTGCCATTTTGGTCACAGGGAGGCTCCACAGAATTTCACTGGAGCACTATGCCTCACACATCTGAATAAAGGCAAACTAAGGCAGTTTATTACTTAGGAATTTTATGATATTATTATTAGTGATATGAAATGAGGGTCAAGATACTTACGGATAATTCTGCACAGGATACTGCATGTTAGCACCCTGCAGATTTTGTCCTTGTTGTCTAGGCTCAGCATTCATCTGTACAGAGGCAGCAGGAGACCTATGCATGGGTTCCACAGGGTACACTGCCCTGGGTGGAAACTGGCCCTCCTGAAACAGAACAAATACCACCCAATAACAGCCACTTTGTAAAAGATGATTTTATATAATTACTATATTCTATAAATTAGGCTTAAATTGATCTAAAATGACACAATCACCGCCAATTTTAATATGTAAGCACTTCAGATAACATGGACATCCAAAAAATGTAACTAGCATAGGGTTTCAGTCCCATGGTATTTCAGATACTTACAATGAAAATGCAAATATGAGAAAATTAAAATATCCCAAATAATAATAATAATCAAATAAAATTTTTTTTCATAACATCAAGAAAAAATAATCTAGTAAAGCTGCTAATCAAACTTGGCTTGAATTTTAGTGCCAATAATCACTTCAGTGGGTTCAAGGATAATAAGTCACACAGTTTTCTATAAATTTTGTTAGCAGTCAAATTTGAAAAGTGCATGGCAAAGATGCCAGTGATGGCTATCTGTAAAGACACTGTGTCTGTACATAAAAAAATAAGTAAAACAGTCCCATGTGGCAGTGCCCCAGTCTTTCTGACCTAAGATAAGTGGTGCTCCCAGTAATATCCCAGGCCATTTCAAGTATACTTCTATTTTATGTTAAACAACCTTTAATGAGATATTTAAGCAGTCGAGACAAAAAGTATTGCTTGTCATTCAGATCACCTGAAATCTGTAATTTGCAGTTATTGATTCCAGATTTGCTAGCTGCAATAGTTTTTCGCAACATATCACAAAATAAATGGGATGCAGTCTGGTGCCCTGATTAAAGAAATAATAAATAAATAAATGCATCCTAACAAGCTACAAGACACTTTTTATCCTTGATCTCATGAAGAAAAGCTCACCTCTGCACTGGCTGGTCCCCCGCTTCCTCCTTCAGCTTTCTCCTTGTCTCTCCTTGAAGCGATATGACTGTAGATGATAGACACACCCTGCTGCTGCTGTTTTCTTAGATCAGAGAAGTCCCTACTGGCCCCACTCTCCTGTGAACTGGGGGGTGGGGCAGGAGTAGAGTCCAGTGTTGTCAACAACTCCGCCCAAGGCTAAAAAAATAAATCAGCAATGTTTGAGAATAATAAGGTCCTTTTACCGTGTAAGAGTACATACAATAATCTTATCAATTCGGACGCAATATTATGCAACGCTTAACAGCATAATTATCACCAATTTTTAATTTTGTACTTCTGTTATTCTGCACATTAAGTAAATATAGGTAGCATGGCACACCTAGTAAATTAAAATTTGTGCAAAAATCCAATCAAGCTGGTTTTTTGAACCTCAATGTGTCCTATGAATCATTCCTGTTAGTTTCAGAAATTTGAGTAATATGTTTGTTTTATAGTGTTCACAAGTAAAAAATAATTATTGATCTATAGATTATTAAACTTGAGAGTGATAATCAGGGATAATCCTGGGGCACGCGATTGCGCCAAATGCGGGGGCCTTTTCTCAAAGGCGCAAGTTAAATTTCTACCTGTGGCAGAATGGCATGTATGAATAGCAGACATTTTTTCGTAATAAAGATCTAAGTACATTATGATGTCACTCGAAGTGCGCATATCGATGCTGTGAGGGCTGACATGTGACCGGTTTCACAAAATACTTCGAAACTGAAACATGTTCTGCTCAAAACACTGAAAACAGGCCGCTCAAACTGGTTATGAACGGCCACGCACAGACCTCTTAGATCACCTAACTACGTGTGCTGGGTAAACAAATATGGCTGCAGTTGGACCGCATGTTGAGTAATTGATAAGTGAAAAGGAGAAATAATCATTTGTTTTTTTAGATGGGTGCTCTTAACTAAATTTCAACAGACATTTTGTCATATTGCAACTTTAGTGGCACTGCATGTTTAAAAATGAGGGACAACATCGTATTCAATGCAGGAAGTGCACAATGGTACAGTCAGGATGCAAAACTGGGGGGGGGGGCTAGGCTCACGCTAGACGCTCGCAAAGTTCGCTATAGCGAATTGCATTTCAGAAATGCGAAAACAAAATGTTACTCGTTCGCAAATTTTGCGAAACTGTTAATACAATAAAATGTTAATCACCTTTCAGTGCGTTTGCTTTGGTTTTGCATTAAAAAATAGAAGTCACCACGCTTACATCGTTGCCTACCATGTACGTCCAAATGAAAGTGAATATATAGATGCCTCCGTTTCGTGCAGATACTAATTGAAAACGAGGCAACAATTTACAGACGGTGCTCCGAGTCGTGTGATGTACATTCTAGCCTTGTAGGTGTGAAAATAAAATTAAAACGATTTAGAAAATAATAAACAAATAAATGTATGTATAATAATCATTCCACATCCATATGACTGACGGGATTAGCAGCGATACAGAAACGGCGCGACTTTGCGACATTTGACCCATAAATTTCATTATTGTCTCATAAAAACGATCGTAATGCGACAAAACATGAGGCCATTGTCGCATAAATAGCATCACCTTTGCGACCAGGAAATCAGAAAAATACGCATATAGTCAAATTTAATAAAAATCAGGAATGATCCAAACAGTTTAACAAAGTAAAAGTCGTTCAGTGAGTGCGCAATATCACCTGAAACTGAGTGGTACTCATCAGCCAATCACATCGCACCTTTCAGTTATAGCGCTTAGCAACGCTTGCGAATTCAGCGAATCATGCTTCTTCTTGCATTCACCGCAAATTTCCTCCTCGCACATGGCGGAGCAAAGTGACAGTGAAACTGAACCTCGTGACCAGTCGGCTGCTTGTTTGCCTCGGAAACGTGTAAAACGAGTGTTCAATGAAGCTTGGAAATCTAAATGGACATGGCTAGAACACAAAGACAACCATATGTTTTGCACACTATGTGTAAAAAGCCAAAAAAAGAACGTTTTTACCGAAGGCTGTAGCAACTTCAGAACCACGACTTTGGAGCGGCATGCTTCAGCAGCTGACCATCGCCAGTCGGTACAAGATGAAATCTCAAGGTCAACTCTATCGAGAATGGTAAAAAATCAGTTTAGTGAGAACGACAGTGCCATAATCCATGCTCTACGAACAATATATTTCTTGGCAAAGCAGGACATAGCAACATCCAAGTACCCAGATTTTGTTGATTTTTTGATACAGCAAGGCTGCAGTGATCTTGCGCCAATTGCAAAAAGCTACCAATCCTACACTATTACCAAAGACTTTCAAGAGAGTATATACGAAGTGATTCTCCGAGATATGAGAAAAAAGCTGACAGATGCAGACTATATCTCTGTGCTTTGTGATGAATCATGTGACATTACTAGTACAAAAAAACTGAGTGTGTATGCGAGGATATCATCAGGCTGTAAACCAGAGACCATTTTCTTAGAGAATTGTGAAATACTGGATGGGAAAGCAGACACCATTGCAACATCTGTCAAAAATCTCCTGACAAAGTTTGAAGTGCCGCCTGATAAGGTAGTAGGACTAGGAAGTGACGGTGCATCGGTCAGTATTGCATAATATTATCAAGAAACAATAAATAAAAAACAACTGGTGTGAAGTTGATAAATAGAATAAATTAAATAATGTACTGGATATATAATATATTACAAGGAAACAATAAATAGAATAAATATTTGAAATTTCATTCATTAATTTTATTTAGTCAGGATTATAATTATTACTGTCAGTCTGTTATATTTATGAAAAATTCCAAAATATTAAATAGTTTGGAAACTTTTTAATAATGAAAAATATTAATAGTTCCAATTTTTTCTAAAATATTGGTTTGTTCATCAGATGTTGATGTGGAAAAATTAATTTCAATCTTTATCTCATCAGGTTATGACCGGAAAACACAATGGAGTCGGTACAAGACTAAAAAGAGAAATAAATCCACAGCTCATTCAACTGCACTGCATTGCTCACCAACTTGCACTCGTGTCTAGCCAAGCAGCCAATGGAGTGCCATATTTGAAGACCTACCAGGAGTTCATGACAAATATCTACTACTGGTTCAAACACTCCGCCAAGCGCATTAGTGGACTGGCTTCTCTACAGGATGTATTAGATGCTCCCAAGATCAGGATAAAGGAAGTACATTCTGTCCGTTGGTTTAGCTTTTATAACAGTCTAGATGCTTTGTATCGCTCTTGGCAATCTTTGGCAATGTTGTTTGAGCAACAGGTTGCTGAAAACGGCAATCCACAGTCTAAAGGTTTCTTGAAAACCATGGCAACATCACAGTTTCTTCTTGTGACAAGCTGTCTTATGGATATCATCCCTATAATTACACATCTAAACATGATATTCCAAAAAGAAAATCTGGATTTGGCTGTTGTATCCCCAGCTGTTCGTGGTGTGAAAAATCAACTGCAGGAATTGCTACAGACACCTGGAGCTCATGAACAGGCTACAAAAGAAGATCTTGGAGAAACCTCTCAGTCAGAGTCCTACTACAAAGGTGTGAAAATTAGAGACACTACACAACTGAGGAATGGTGCAGACTCTGCGAAAACTTCCTTTATCAACAATCTCCTGGAAGAACTTGATAAGCGGTTTCCAGATAATGACCAGTCAGTGGTTTCTGCCCTATCAGTTTTAGGTCTCAGAGGCATCAGGTTTCAAAATCAGGATGCCCAAGCTGCTTTTGGAAATAAGGAATTGGACGTTGTCATTAAACATTACGAGGACAAGTATGTTGATGGCAATGTGGTCAAACAGGAATGGGCAATACTGAAGGAATTGGTCCTGGCAAACACTTACAGTTGTGACAGTATGAAAGAACTCTGGGAAATTATCAACGCATTTCATAAGGAGAATTTCCCTAACTTGTGCAAATTGGCTGGCATAGCACTTGCCCTCCCAGTGCATACTGCAGACGTAGAACGTGGCTTTAGTGCTCAAAATATAATCAAATCTAGCCTTAGAAACAGACTGATCAGTGAAAACTTACAAATGTTGATCGCCATAAAACTTAATGGCCCCCTTTCTCAGGATTTTGACTTTAGAAGTGCTCTAAGTGTGTTTAAAACAAAACGTCAAAGGCATTTCTCATGAATATTGATGTAAGAGACAATAATGACATTTGTGGTGTAATGACATTACTTTATTGACATTACTACATTGACATGACATTAATAATGGCACTTCTGGTAATCATGCCTAAGAGTGTTTCAAAGAGCAAATGTTTTTTTTTTTTTTTTTTAAAAATAAAACTTGTTTTATGGAAACAAAAAATGTTGTTTATGATGTGTCCCTTGTTTTGAACCTTGTGTCTCATATTTTTATGAAACAGGAGACACATGTCTCTCTTTTCACATAAAGTTTCTGTATCACTGGATTAGGCAACCAAATTTTCAGTGTGGGATAGCCCGCACTAGCAGTCAGCACATGGCGCTCAAAATATGATCTGTGGAGAACGATGTGGCAATGCTTTCAAAGATTTTCGAAAAAGGTAAGATGATTTTTTATCTGATATGTAAACAAAATTGTATTACATACAAAATTTAAGCTTTGGAATGTAAAATAAAAAGTGAATGAATAACTTTTCAGTAGTTGGAGCTTATTTTGCTGCAAGTTAGTTACTTTCAACAGTGAAAGGTTTTTAATGGTCCACGTATTCTGTCTTCTAATCAGTTCCTGTCTTCGGGTAACTAATTGTCGTATAATCTTGTATTAATGAGAATTTTGGTAAATTTATTTTTCTTAAACAGTTTGTTGTACCCAAAGAAAAAAAGAATATTTTTCTTCTAAAAATGCTTACACGACCACGTGACGATCGATGCGTTGCGCAATGTTTAGCGACATAAGTGCGTTCTTGATTTATTTTTGTGTGGGGAACATAATGATTAAATCGATGAAATATTATCATGATTGGAAAGTTAATAAAGCCATGTGTACAATTTTGTACAATTAATATTCATTTTGCAGTTTCAGTTGCCGTTATATTTGTGATCGTGATGAATTTGAAGATTGACCATTTTTCATTATCATCAAGTAGTAAGTTTTTCAAGGGCAGTCACAGAAAAGGATTGCTTCTTCTAATAAGCAGTCCAGAATAGAATCATTTTTCACCACAGCTACTAGAATACCTCCAACAGAGCAGCCTTCTCAATACTATGAACCAGTAGGTGGGCCACTTCTAGACTTACCTGATGACCTTGTGACAATTACCAACATGGAGTCTACTAGTAGTTGCACATTAGAAATTGAAATCATTTTTGTGTAATGTCAACATTTATGCTATAGATGAATTACAGTGCCTTATTATCCTCCAACTCAATGGGATTATTCATATCATGTTAATACAGCTAGATTTAAAGTTTGAATGCAGCTGTATTGGAATATTTTTGTTGTTATCCCTTTATTTATTATTATATTTTACTTTTCAAACACTGGCATCTTCAAGATGTGACATTTAACTCCCATCACCCTGAAGCTCTGTACATTTTCTGTATTTTTTTTTTTTTTTTTTTTTTCAGATTACATGCAATATGTTGAAATGAAAAAGTGCAAAATATTGGTTTTAAATTGTTGTTTTTGTTTAATAATTATATAATGCATATGCTGATGTAACCTGGTAATAAAGTGACATATGAACTCTGTCTTTCTTTGACTGTTATTAAGACCTGTTGGGTACAACAGCATAAACTTGGTTCTTGGTTTCTACCTAATATTGTTAAGGGATGCATAAGCTTTTCTTAAAATATTATTTACATTAACTTACACATTTAGTCTGTTTTATAATTTAATTTTGCGTTTTTATGCTGTCCAGTGTCTTCCTTTATGTATGTTAGCATAAAAACTGATGAGTGGTGGCATTTTTCGACTTTCAAATTTTGCTAATTGAAATAAGAAAATGCTAATAGAAATTTGTACCCTTTAGCAACTTTTGCTAATCAAAAATAATGACTAGAGTGAGCACAGGGGGGGGGGTTGGGGAGGGGAAATTAATCAAGTGGAAATTAGCTAGAGACAGGTGAAATTAGTCAGCGGTAAGCCTGACCAGACAGGTGACCTGTAAAATAAGCGTTAAGGCCTACAACAGTGTAATAATCACAAATACTTCATGTGTAAATTGATTAATAGATATGCCAACTAAATTAAGTAACGTTATGTAGTTGCTTGCTAGATTTTATGTAAATATAGATATATGTAAGACAGGTTTCTTTCATCTTAGATCACTGCTTTCAGGTTAAAAAAAGAATGCAAATATTTTGAAAAATACAAATTCTTTTCAGAGCTAGTCTTTTTTTCACAATAAAAATGGGAATTGTCAACCTTTTCCATGCGGTGCAATTATTTGGCACAGTACAATTATTAATTTTGAAAGATTTTTCCATTCAATTTCAGCATGTCTGGAGTACAGATGGCAATTTTGGATGGCCTGTATCCCAATCCTGGGAAAAGCCTTGGTTATTAGACAACTGCTGGTCAAGATTCAGGTGTCTGAGGGAAAAAGTGGTTGCAAAACATAACTGTTAATGTTGAGGCCTGAAGTAGAAACAGAGTAGTAACTGCGCTCAAACTTGAAAGATCTTAATTACATAGGGTTTACTCATCATTTATCTGTCTTGATTATGCTTTAAGCTTCAGGGCTATGTCTCCAAATTCAACTAGGAGTCAGGTCCGATCTTAACCTCTATTTTGATACAAAAATGCATCTCTTCAAGAAGCTCTGGCTGAACAATACAGGAATTCAGTACTTTACCTGCTGTTCCTCTCGGCGGGGCTGCTGCTGCATTTTGGAAGCCGCGGACCAACAACTTCTGTGTCTACTTGCGTTTACCTGAAGTGAAACGAGGAACAGCTACCTAAACCAAGGTCTAAGCTTTATTACTTGTTTTCGTTCTAAACCTTCGCAACCAGGCCTCACAAATTGGGTCAATTTCATTTCAAAATGGCTCCAGATAGCGCGGCTAGTGCGAAGATTTTTCTCACGACACCTAACACTTAAAATATACCGCCATTTCTATAAGCACAACAATGAAACTGTTTTACTTACACATAAAATATACAGACAATTTAATTAAAACGAGAGAGTACGTTCCGCGGAATGTCTGTTTGTCAACGATACAATATGGCGACGATGCTTATACCCCTTTTGATAAACTCGACCATATTAGCAGTAGCTCGGTAAAGTTAAACAGAAATTCCAGAAGAGATACACTCTCAAAATTAAATTCAGGGCACGCATGTATCAAAAGCGATGCCAGGGACACAATTATTTATATCTTCACTAAAAATAACTTTCCGAAAAGATAAATATGAACAGAAAAACCAGCACAATTTTAATGGTTCTTGACTCGGTCAAGGTCGTTTGTCTCGGTCGAAACCAAGAGTTGTACGTTATCTTAACAGACGTCTGAACGCACTTTTTCGTAAAATACACGTTGTTCTAATAATTTAAACACACAATATGTTTACACTGTGGTTTACATTCAGAGTGAAAACAGCAAGGTCCCAGCACTTAATGTTTAAAAATTTGGACATGGACGAGTCCACGTTGAACCGCAAATTTCCCTTATATATTTTTCCACAAAGGCAAGCGACAGCATAACCATTTAGAAAAAATTGACTGCTTCACGCGAATTTTCGCAATGTCAAATATCGAACTGTGACGTAACAAGAAAATCGCTCCACAGTCTTCAATACATAAAGACAACAAA